GGATGAAGACCATTCTTAACAATCAGACTGTGGACATCACTCTGAAAAGATGCACAGTTACTGTGAAGGGCCCCAGAGGCACCCTGTAAAGGGGCTTCAACTATAATACATCCATGTAGAGCTCCTTGGAAAGAAAAGGAAGAGGCTCTGGGTTGACAAATGGTGGGAAAATGGAAAGGAACTGGCCGCAGTTTGCACTACCTGCAGTCATGTACAGAACATGAACAAGGGTGTTACACGGGGCTTCTGTTACAAGATGAGGTCTGTGTACGCTCACTTCCCCATCAACATTGTTATTAAGGAGGAGGATTCTCTTGCTGAAATTAGAAATTTCTTGGGCGAAAAATACATTCGCAGAGTTCAGATGAGGTTAGGCATTGCTTGTTCAGTACCGCAAGCCCAGAAAGATGAGTTGATTCTTGAAAGAAATGACATTGAACTTGTATCAAATACAGCTGCTTTGATTCAGCAAGCCACAACAGTTAAAAATAAGGTTATCAGAAAAATTTTGGATGGTTTCCAAAAAAGGACCAGTTCAGCAGGCTGAAGAATAAGATCTAAGATGTCCAACTATAGAAACACCAAGATGCCAAATGATTTGTCACACTTGTTTGCAATATTATAAAAATGTTGGTGATATTATAAAGCTACAACAAAAGCCTTGTATTAAAAGAAAAAAGAAAAAGGAAAAAAACAACAACACAGTGCTCTCTGCATTCCACTGACCACATAGTCTTCATAGGTCTGATCATTCCACCCTTTGTTGGAAAAGCCAGGAAAAATTTAAAGTTCTAACTTTTAGGAAAGGGAAGGGCAGGGGAAAGATGTGAAAAATGAAGGTGGAAGAACTGGCCATACTTCAAATTTCATATAAATAAAAGCTTCCCTTGTTCATAGTTTTACATGACTACTGCGAATTCAACAACTTAAATGGGAATATTTTCCCTACTACTGAAATCCTCCTCCTTGCTTTTTGAGACACAGAGCTAACTTAAATTTCCTGAAACAGGACTAAAACTACAGTAACTCTGACACTCAGTGTAGGATATTCTTGGTGATAGCAAATCATTAGTCAAATAAAAAGCATAGAACATTAAAAGGAAGAGTATTAAAATGGGTAGGGAATGTGAACAGTAGAAACTATATTAAGCTGAAGAAGTCTGGTAGCATAGTTCTCTATGGAATAAAATAATCTGTCAATTGAGGGTTCTCAATTTTATAAGTTAGCCACAAAAATATCCATGCTGCACTTTCATATATAAAGTGAATTCCCTCTAAGCACAACACTTTTAGTAGTCTGGTAGACTTGAGAGCTATTCGTGGAAAAAAGAACCCCGATCATGTCTGAAAACTGGACATCATAAATGGCAATCAAATTATTGCAAACATACAGGAAGTAAAAATTACTGAAAACCAGAATAATTTCTGGAGGCACAATCCCCTCAAAACTTCCCAGCAGGGTTTAGGTGGAGCAGTAAACTAAGAATCAAGGTCCTATTTCTCCACTCATTCCCTTAGCACAGATGTCTAGATTGTAAACTGTGAGCCAGGTAGTTATAGGCACTGGAAGCTCAGTAATAAACAAAACAACCAAAAATTCCTGCAAGGGGGGGGGCACTTAATTTTATTAGGAAGAGAAAATAACAATGTATATAAAATGCTAAATGTGGATAAGTGCTGAAGATACAAACTATGGGGCATGGGGGATAGAGAGTTGGGGGAATGTTTCCACTTTAGAAAGGGCAGTCACTGAGAAGGTCATATTTGAATGACCTGAATGGGTGAGAAAATGAGCCACACAGAGGGAACAGCAAATGCAAAATCCCTGACACAGGAGCATGACTGGCCAGTGAGATGCAAGCAGACAGAACAAGAGGAACAGAGGAAGCAGATGAGATCAGAGAGATCATGGTGGACAAGTCATGAGGGAGGTAAGGGCAGAGCAAGTGCAGGGAGGTGCACTAGTTAAGGATTTGCTGTAATCTAGGTGCGAGACCAGAGCAGTACTGAATATAAGACATGACGAGATTCTGAGTATCTTTGAGGATAAATAGATAAGATTTGCCAAAGGATTAAGTAAAGGGTCTAGAGAAAGACAAGAGTCAAGGAAGACTACTGTGTTTCTGGCTAGAGCAGCTACAAAATGGAGTTGTTCCTTGCAGTGAAGAACTCTGTAGGAGGAGCTTATCTGAAGTAAATGAATCAGAAGCTTCATTCTAGACATGCTACTTTGAGATGCTCACTAGCTATCCAACCATTTGTGTGTGTTTAATATATTTTTATTTATTTCAGAGAGGGAGGGGGAGGGAGAGAGAACTAAAAACATCAATGGTGAGAGAGAATCACTGATCAGCTGCCTCTGCACACCCCACAGTGGGGATCAAGCCCGCAACCCACGCATGGGCCCTGACTAGGAATAGAACCATGATTTCCTGGTTCATAGATTGACACTCAACCACTGACCCAACCATATGTTTTCAGTCAAATAAGGCAAGAAGTATGGGCTAGAGGACTAAATGCAGATGGCATCAGTATATGGATGAATTGGTTCGAAACATCAAACAGGGGTCCTCTTCTGGGCTTTCTCAATGATGTGCTGGGTCTATCATTCAGCTATCTATCAATCAGGGATGGATTACCACAGAATTCCAAGAAGGTATATATAGAATACTTGTTTTTAAAGCAATCAGTTCCCAACTAATCACACTCAACAAATATTACTGACCTATTCTGTATCAGGTATAGCAAGAAACTGAGAATGCGGTAGGTAGTAAAAGACAGACATGAAGGCAGGTAATCCCTGCCTTCATATAAATTAGTGTAATGAGGGAGATAAAATCAAAACAATAATATCACATATATGGTTGATTATTACTACCCTGTTTCCCCAAAAATAAGACAGTGTCTTATATTAATTTTTTCTCACAAAGTTGCGCTAGGTCTTATTTTCAGGGAATGTCTTATCTTTCCATGCGCTAGGTCTTATTTTCGGAGGATGTCTTATTTTCGGGGAAACATGGTAGTAACTGTGGCAAGTCCTATATAAGAGAAGTCGTAGGTGTTGACTATGTGTAAGTATGTTTCTTCCTGGACAGCTTTCCTCTGATACCTGGCATATTCCTACCACACTTCTCCAGAAGTCCAATCTCCCAGGAACCAAGTGCATCATCAAAATGACACATATGCTTCCAAGGAAATAAAGTCTTTACGGATAATACAGTATTTAAGACCATCTTAATCTTTAACAACCTTAAAGGAAAATACGATGTCCACCTCTCTCAACATTTTATTACCTATAAGTGAACTGTGATCTCTCCACATTCCTGGGATCAGGGGTCATAGGAAATAAAGTGTAGTTTTCACTTGACTGAAAGAAAAACAGGATGCTATACCTGAGTTCTAGTCTATATAAAGTACTCTCACAGAATTTTAAGATAAAAATAAGAGTCAGATATGTCTTCTAATCACAGCTGACTACACCAGCAGAAATGGAACTTTAGAGCTCTAACATATGCATGATGTTAGAGAGGATGTAACCCAATAGGACCCTCATTTGATAGAATAGAAAACTCAAACTCAGGAAAATGACATGACTATATGACACACCTGAAGTTAACCAGCTAGTTAATACAGAGCCAAAGCTAACCCAAAATCTCCTCAACACGTAATTCAGATTTCACCAGTACAACTCTCATTTTTTTTTTCTGTTAGGAAGAAAGTAAAGAAAGAATGAAATGGAAATACTAATAAACGGTTTTTCTTCAAACGCCTTCTTTTTGCAAAATGTTTTATGAAATAAAAGTACACTTATAAAGGACTTTATACTATATCCAGGTTATTGGTACTAAGAATGGGAAGAAGAGACAATGATTAGATCATGAAAAGAGGCCCTAAGGGAGCAAGTAATAAAAATATTTACTTCTGTATTCCCAATACCTAAAATAGTACCTGACCTATACTGGGCATTCAAAAAACACTGCTTCAATTTAATTTGTTTTAATTAAATTACAGACTATAAAAGGCATATCTTAACATAATTCGGTTTAAGGAAGTGAAATATACTGACTCTCCATGTAATGATGGCAATGAGAGACCAACAACTGCATTATATGTCTTTATCTTATGTAAATGTTATATGTCATCAAAGATTTGGTGTGGAATATACAACTAAATCTACATATAGAAAAAAAGAAGAGCTCTGCTCTTATGAAATTAATAAAAACTTGGATATTTATTAATTATATTAATTAATATAAAATTAATAGTTTACGAAGAATTTCATTATATACATACACGTGTGTGTATATATATTCAGACATATATTGTATATTACATTTACATATGCTACATATCTTATATAGCATACATGTTATATGGAGTAGGCATTATTATCCACTCTAATGGTAATGAAATCAAAGTTCTGAGAAACTGTTTTGAGCTAACGGGCTACATAGTTTGAACTAGAACTCAAGTCTCTAAACTCTAAGTTCAGGTGAATCTTCTACTTACTTTCACTGGATATTTAAAAAGATGACAGGTTTTTACTTGGAAAAATAGCAAGTTTGTTGGTACTAGTTATTGCCTTTGCAACCTCCCTCCTCACAAGAAATTGGGTAATAAATCAAATATTATCTCACAAGATATTTTGACATGTGGAGACATATCTCTACATGATCATGTTTGGGTACTTGAGTTTATCTGTAAAATATTTCTCTAAGAAGTAGCAGTTGGGTGGAGATTTACTATTAATTGCTCATAAGGGTTAAAACTATAGCAACACGGATCAGTTAAACAATGCCCTAGCAGTACAATAAAGGGTGCCCAGCATCGTGTCAATGGGAAAGAGGAGAGAAAAAATGTTTCGTTCCCTAACCCAGCCAACATCATGCTCATCAGTTATTCAAAGTGCTGAGGTTAGAGAAAGGTGCTCATTCACACTCCACCCTCTTGCCCATCCTAGTTCCCCCAGGTCAGCACTGCACACATCTACCGCGCCTCACCTCGCGGTCTCCTTCCATTCCATCTCCTGCCCGTCCACGGACAGCAGCTCGTCCAGTTCGGTGAAGAGCTGAGGGGGTGCTGGGCTGTCATCCTCCTCGCCCAAGATGAATCGGATTCGCTCTGCGGCAGGCGAGACTGCAGAAGTGAAAATACTGCGGTTAAACACGGGCTGCACCACCCTGAGGAGCGTGTAGCTCTGAGCTCTTCCTCCGTCCCCAAGGCTGCTGTGCTTCCCTTCCACATCCTCAGTGGACATCTTCCTTGCTTAATCCCAACCTCAAGACAAAAAGAAATCAAAGCCCTTCTCTCTTCCTCTGGTTCCAAACTGTATCTCAGCTCTCCGGAAGGACAGCGCTCCAGTTCTGGGCGGTGTGTGACAAAGGACCTTTAGCCCTCAGATGAGCTGAGGTCCAACCTTATGACTTTCTCTCCTTCCCCATTAATGAGCCATCCGAAATGATTAGACAGAAACCAGCTTAATCCAATCATTTTTCTACAACAGTGGGAGGAGACAATGGAGCACCCCTATCCTCAGGTTCTCCCAGGTGCCCGCCTCCCACCTACCTTCCCTCTGTCCGATGCCTAATGCCCATGCCCTTTCAGGCTAACTACAAAGTTGATGAAGGAATATTTAACAAGAGATGGGCCTCTTCTTTACACATGGTGCACCAAAAATATTTAGTCACACTTCAGTGCACTTGGAAAAACAAGCCCAAGTAAAATATTGTACACCTGAGGGGGAAGGGATTTCCAACACACTCAAGCACATAATTGAATGCTCTACTCGCTTCCTTTGACCCTATCTCCTGGAAATACCATAATAAAAAATTAACTAGCATCTCCTCCAGGTCAAGGGTTATGTTCCCCTTCTTCTCTCTTCTTTTCTTAAAGGATAGCATTTGGAAATTGAAGGCTTTGTTACAAACCTAAGGCCCACAGATACTTTTACCAGTATAATCCCAAGATAAAACTAAGAATAGTATGTGCATATGAATGTAGTTCAGGTACACCTATATATATGTGTGTGTTTGTTGTTGTGGTTTTGTGTGTGTGTGTGTGTGTGTGTGTGTGTATGTGTGTGTGTAAAATGTCTGTACTCAAATAACCTAAAAAAATCCATACCATCTGAAAACTATAATAAAAGGCACAAGAATAAAATTTCATTTCTCAAGATGTATTTACTCAAATAAACCAATAAAAATATTCAAGCTAACTAGTATTCAAAACTATTAAAATATATTTTACCTATTGAAATGGAAAAATTAAAAAGGAATGATAATGTCTAATATCAGCAATGATTTAGAAAACTTATGTCACTGACAGGAGCCTAGCAGGGAACATCACTATCTGAAGGGAAATTTGGAATGATATGGAAATGTCTTAAAAGTATACGTGTCAAACCCAACTGGTATGGCTCAGCAGTTGAGCATTGACCTGTGAATGGGGAGATCATGGTTCCATTCCTGATCAGGGCACATGCCTGGGTGCTGGAGGTGGCTGTTCAATAATTCTCTCTCATCATTGATGTTTCTATCTCTCTCTCCCTCTCCCTTTCTGAAATCAATAAAAAAAAATTAAGCATATGAGTCTAGTGAGCCAGCAATTCTATCATTAGAAAGATATTCATTTCAAATAAATAGCGGTTGTTATTTCAAAGACTTAGTTACAGAGGCCATCACTGCAGTTTTATAATTAAGAAAAATAGAAAAAGTCAAAATGTCCAAAAAAGGAGGATTAATGAAATAAACTATAATACAACTATACAATAAAATACCATGTAGTTGCCCAGCCAGGGAGGCTCAGTGGTTTGAGTGAACCAGAAAGTCATGGTTCAATTCCTGGTCAGGGCACATGCTCGATCCCCAGTAGGGAGCATGCAAAAGGCAGTTAATCAATGATTCCTGTCATCAATGACGTTTCTATCTCTCCCTCTCTCTTCCTCCCTAAAATCAATAAAAATATATTTAAAAATAAAATACCATATAGTCATAAAACATGATATTAAGATTATTGTTTTTTATGTATATACAATATTAAATAAGCAAATAAAAACTGTCAATTCATAATGTGATTCTACTCTAGTAAACTATGATTCCACCTTAGTAAAATAAAAAATAAAAAAATACACATATGTACATAAAATAGCCCGGAATTGAGAGAGTCCTCAGTTCCAATGTGTGTGAAATTTCAGTTACCACAGTTTAATTAAATAATACTACAAATTTTAGTGAGACTGGTATACGAACTGTGAGCAATTGCATAAAGTACAAAATTCACTGCTACCTCTTTAGTCCACAATTGATGACTATGTAAATAACATATGTGCATCTTGATCAGTGACCAATTGGGCATCTTTCAAAGTCTGTCAGTGATTGGTTACTACACATTTGTTATCCAGTTCATGTACAGACAGCAAACTGTGTGGTTGTGTTGCCTTCTTATCTCCCAGTGATATATTCATATAACATGGATACTCAAAAGAGCATTGGCCAACAAAGATGAAAGAACTGCACAGAAACAAAACGTGATGACACCACAAGTGAAGCCTGTAGTCAAATGTAAATGGAGGCATAGAAGACTTCCCTGGCATGGGCATGTAGACAAAGAATGCTGCCACTGACCATTTGAGAGACTAGTTACCTAGTAGAGGAAAGTGGTTATAACAAAATGATAACAATGTTCCAGAGGAAGTGGTGCTGGCAAAAAACAAACAAACAAAAAACCACTTCACATTAAAGGAACTCTCAGACATTTCTGGACATGGAAAGCACAGAGGATAAAATGTTGGAAGCTGATTCAGATTAGAGAGGAGTATGACAATTTGGGCATAGGAAAGATGCTTATTCCATTTCATTAGTTGTACAATAGCAAGAAAGCAAGCACTATTCAAACTCCTTCTGATGAGATTTTATAAAAGAGTCACTCCCTTTCATCCTAATGTTTCTAAAAATTAGCATGTACTAAATAAATATTAGTTTTACTACTTTTTTTTTTAATTCCCCTATGCCTTTATAGCCAAAAGCAAGATAGAGCTTAATGATCTGGCAAATTTTTTAAAAAGTCAAAGAACAATAGTAACTTTTCTCATTGATTATTAGGATTGATTGTTTTGCATACCTTCAGCATGCATAATCAGTTTTACAGCCCTGCAAAAGCAAGGATTGCCTATATTTACATCTTTCAAATGTTTATTTTCTTCCTTTTATTTTCCTATTAATTCTGAAGTGTGCACAGTCCACGCAGGTACTTATTCAGCAATAATTACTGAGTGTTACCTATGTTCTAATAGGCTTTGCTTCAGACTCTAAAGGTTAAGGGAAGAGTTTGACCTGTTGTTATCAAGGTTACATGGTAGGAGGGGAAGCAAACATTAATTAATTCACCGATTAATTAAATTAGACAGCAAGCAAAAAATATTTATGAAGTGTGTTTGCAAAACATTAAAATAAGGTAACTGAGCCATAGCTGGGTGGCTCCGTTTGGTTAGAACACCATCCTATACACCAATTCCTGGTCAGGGCATGTACCTAGGTTGGGGCTTCGATTCCTGGTAGGGTAACATATGAAATCACTGTTTCTCTCTCTCTCTCTTTTCCTCTCTCTGTAAAAATCAATTTTAAAACATAAGGTAATTGTACATGTTAGCATAGGATACAATATGTTTTACTTCTGTAATTAGAAAAAAATGAGCTTTAAAATTTCTTAACATCTCTGCTAAAAAAATATCTGAAGCTTCAGAACTTTGTGCAAAAACTTTGCAATGCCTTTGCCGTTAACAAAAAGAATGTGTTATTATTTTTTAGAAGATCAGGCATAAAAAAAAATAAGGGGAGAGTTAAAAATGATAGGCAGAATTTGGAATCTGGGTAATACTTCTGAGGAGTATAGTGTTCACATTACTGAAAATGCAGTTGTTGATCACAGTGGTTCTACAGCTGACTGACAAATCTGATTGATTTTCATCAGCATTCAATGTCAAAGATCCCTAAGTTAGAACCAGCTTTTAAAAGGGGCACGCCTATGTTTAAAGAATCAACTTTTGTCGATTTCTGGATTTCTGGAAGAGGTGATGTGGGCTTGAACCAACCTCCAACAGAAGAGTCAATGTTTCTCCTGCATAAATAACAGAAGCTCCTACACAGACGGTTCACATCTCTGCTCTGCTCTAACCCACAGAGCACCACTAGGAAAACATAACTCATTGCTTATCAGACAGCAATTCACCTGTGACTTCTACAAAATGGACTGGAAGAAGGATGACACAATACCTCTGGTCTTCCTCACTAGGCACTGTATCTAAGCAACTTTCCCTTTTTTTTCTTTCTGTTTTTTTATTTTAAATTTTATTAATTCAATTAATTGGGGTAACATTGGCCAACATGAATATATAGGTTTCAGACCTGGTTTCCATGTTACAAGATCTGTATATTGTGTCGTGCCCACCACCCAAAGTCAAATCTTCTCTTGTCACCATATATTAGGACCCTCTTCTCCCCTAATTTTCTTCCCTCTGGTAACCACCACACTGCTGCTTATGCTCATGAGCTTCAATTTTATATCTCACATATGAGTAAAATCATATAGTTGGTGGCTTTTTTTCTGTCTGACTTGTTTCACCTAGCATGATGTTCTCAAGACCCATCCATGTTGTTACAAATGGCGTTATTTCATCCTTTCTTATGGCTGAGTAGTATCCCACTGTATATATGTACCATGTTTCCTTTATGCAGTCCTCTAGCGCAGGACACTTGGCTGTTTCCACCATGAATAATGCTGCAATGACATAGGGGTGTGTATATCTTTTCAAGTAAATGACTTCGAATTGGCATATATTGTTGTGAGTAAACGGCTTAAAGTTTTTTGGGTACAGACCCAGAAGAGGGATTGCTGATTCATATATATGGCAACTCTATTCATAATTTTTTGAGGAATCACCAGACTGCTTTCCATAATGGTTGTACCAGTCTACAGTCCCATCAGCAGTGAAGGAGGGTTCCCTTTTCCCACAACCTCTTCAACACTGCTGTCTCTTGTCTTGTTGGTAATGGCCCCTCTAACAGGTGTGAGTGGGTATCTGACAGTAGTTTTGATTTGCATTTCCCTAACTGCCAGTGAGGTTGAACATCTTTTCACAC